CTAATCAGCCTAATCTGGTTTCCGGTATAGAGTGAAATGTAAATTTTTCATTTCAGTTCAGCGGCTTTAACATTTTCTGTGGCTATAACAATAAATAATTAGTCTTAACCCGTAACCGGTGAGGTGCAATTTCAGTTACATTAAGCGTGATGTGGAGTCACACAGACTCCTTTAAAAAAAAATAATATTAAAAGAAATAAATATTGTAATGAATAAATTTCACTGAAATAAGTTACAACTAGATGAGTTTTAGTGGCTCATATATGATTTTTTCATTAAAAAAAAATATTAAAGTATGTTTTTGTTTTTATACTGTAGTATTGAAATTTCTCATTATTAGAACAAGCTTCCACAATTTCATCAATTAAAAAAAATATATATTTTTTTTAGAAGTTTACAATATTAGGTGGGACTAAGGGAATACTAATCATTAATTTTTATGCAAAAAATAAACATATTTATTCAGTACAAAAATTCTGACAACAGGTGAACTACACTAATTTCAAACAACATATATTTTAGATACTCCTATTTTGAAGCACATTGTGTGCATATTTTCTTGCTGCATGATAAACATATAGGCTTCTTACAATCACAGCATAAGTAAAATGTCTTTCTATGAAGTTTGGATGGGCATAAATAACAATACTTCCGAACCTCTAATTTTTCTTCGGCTTCAAATGGTACTGGTTCTTCGAGTGCAAGTATTCTTTTTATTGAGTTTCTTATGTCCAAGTTAATTCTAGGATTTTCAAAACGTCTCCTCATAAAAGGTTCTGTCAGGCTTTTCGCTAGTGCCTTCATGAATTTGATTCGGGATGTATTTTCGTTATTCTTGAAACAATTGTGCATGACAAATGCGTTGACACAACTCATGTCTAATATTTGGTAAAAAATAGCCATTGGCCAACGTCTAGTTCTCCTTGAAGAGCTGTAAATGGTGCATTTCTCATCTAGTGCATCGACGCCTCCTTTTGTTGAATTATAAAATGATATTATTTCGGGTTTATTACTTTCAACATCCGTAGAACGAGAGTGATGCATAGAAGAAATGAGGATTACAGCTTTATTTTTCTTAGGAATATAGGAAACCAGCGTTTCATGTTTTGAAAATCCATATAATGCAGAACCAACTTGTTTTTGTCTGCTTGCCTTAAATTCTGGTGGTATTTCTCTTTTGGATTTTCTCATTGTTCCAACATAGGTAAGGCCTCTGGATTGTAGCTCTTTCACCAACTGAAGAGACGAAAACCAGTTATCCGCAGTAATGTTCCTATTAGTGCCAAAAAGAGGTTTTGAGAGACGAATTACGGATTGTGTGGGTTTGGTCAAATTTTTCTCTGCATTCGAAAGACCAATTCCATCCGAACCTTTTCCTGTATAAATATAGCTATTATAGGCAAATTGAGTCTTAGCATCAGTTAACAACATAAGCTTTATGCCATATTTTCGTGGCTTGTTCGGAATGTACATTCGGAACTTGCACCGGCCCCTAAATCCGATTAACATCTCATCAATGCATGCATTTTTCCCAATGGTAAATACATTTTGACAATTTTCAAAAAACATTTCAAAAATGTTATGAATATGAGCCGCTGGTTGTTCTTTCAGCCTTTCTTTCCTAGTTGTGGTATCATCAAACCTCAAGCAATTGATCAAAACACTAAATCTTTTTCCGCTCATAATAGTTCTAAAAATCTCTCTTCCGGTTCCATCTGCAGTAAACATGGCATCAATATCTTCATCATTAGACTTGTAGATCGCGGTATATATTAGTAAGCCCATCAAAGCTCTTATTTCAATACTATCCGTATTTTTCAAATCTGTTCGCGTCTCTTCAGCATAACGTGTTCGAATTTCTGCAATCTTTATATTTGTATACTGCACTATAGTATTTATCATAGCTTCTGAGATGAGAAGGTTCCATATATCTTCAGGATTGGCTCTATCTCCTAGAGTACGAGCAGGACCTTTTAATCCTGGTAAGGTTACAACTATATTATGTTGTGGAGTTCGTACATTCCTTACAGGTTCGTTTACTGCCCACTTTTGTCGATCTTTCCCATAAAAATACTTTTTTTCAATTCCATTATCATTGTCTTGGTCTGCTTCTTCCGAGGCTTCTTCATCAATATTTTCATCATTTGACAAAGATTGTTCATCATCATCACCACTTTCACTTGAAAGTCGATATTCGTGTTCTTCAAGATCATCTCCGTCTTCCATATCAGATCCTTCCGATCCTTCTTCATTATGCCATCTTAAAATGGTACTTTCAAAATTACTGTCCAATGGATGAACAGTTTTCGATGTACCAGGACGTAAATCCATCTAAAAATAACAAGTTTTACACAAAAATTTCAAATTTTATCACAATTAAAAAACTTACCTTAACGGTGAGGTGGAGTCACAGAGACTCTGATTTCTAATTTAAACGTGTTTACAGTACCGTAGCTCGATGAACACTGAATACCAATAACTACTAATAGTGATTTGAAGGTACATGAGCACGCGCGATATTCGAGGTCACCGGAAAAAAGTTACAGTGGTTTTTAAAGTGTCAGGAGTCTGTATGACTCCACCTCACCGGTTACGGGTTAACCGAAATCGATTTACATATAATACTCGTTTTATAGCAGTATTAAGGCATCTTGGTCCATTTAGTAGAACAAATAACATTCTTTACATATTTAATGAATGATAATTTTCATGTGTTAAGTTTAGATTTTTTATTATTTTATATTAATAATATATTAAATATTTACTAAGGTTGTTGATTTTTAACAATTTTCATTTATCTTCATGTAAAATTTATAAAAAATAAAAAAATATATTATAGGAATTAAACAACATTTAAATTAAAAAATTATGATACCCGGCTTTAATTGGAACATTTTTTTAAATTGAAAAGAAAACAATGACATGGGGTTAAGAAACTCTTTTCACGTGTTTAGTTTAGTAATACAAATTGTTTCTAAATCGATATAAGAAATACCTATTTGATTTCGAATTAACGCTTTTTATGTGTTTATATTTCTTTGGAAAATTAAACTTGATTGACTTTTTGTTCGACCTCGAATTGTAACCATTCAAACAGCAATACAATAATAAATATTGCGATTTGCTGGAGGCTTTCACCCAAATTTATTTCTGATAATATCACTAATTTCATCTCAAGGATATGTTAAATTATGTAAAATACAAAAAATAAACAAAAAATGCACAAAAATATTTAAAAATCTCATCAACAGATAAGAATTACTAGAATCACAGTACAGTAACAATACCTACTAGCCTTTAATGGACAATATATATTAAAATAATACACATTTGGAAATTCTGAAAATAAAAAATTATGAAAATTATCCCCTTCTATTTTCCAAAGTGAAAATAAACCATAGAAAAATTAAGAACAGAACAGAAATTAAAAAATAAATAATGCGCGCAAGATCGGGAGGAAAAATTACCAAATGCAACATCTGGACATGTCGGCTATATGACTCTATTTAGATTATTAATGACAAAAGTATGTCTCTACAAATTGATATCAAAAACACTCAAAATTTAAATACAATAAAAATAGTCGACTATTTATCAAGCTCTCGTTATATTACCCTTAAATATTTTTGTTTGGTCAGATCATAATTATGAACTTTTTTTATTCGGATTTTCAAGTTCTATACAAACATTACTACTTTAGCTATTAAGCTGAACTTCTTTTCAGTGTTAATAGCGTATTAAAAAACAAAAAAAAAAACTTCCAAAGAAAAACTGCATCCCAGTACGTAAAGCGATACATTCACATATCTATCTACCGACTTTCTGTAAGTCTGATAAATCCAAACCAATAATAAAAATAATCAATAAATAACATGTTTATAACATTCCAATCGAGTATCAGAAAGCTTCTTATTGGCGCAATAAATAATGATTAAATATCCAGTAATCCATCTACATTGAGAACTTTAAGGAAGAATCACAGTGGCGTTCAACAACATTTATTTCAATCACCGGAAAAGAACCATGAAATTCATTCCAGTAATAATTTTAATACAAATAAGCAGCTTATTAGTGCTGCGGTTTGTTTATATCGAAATTCTGACCAGCTGACATGTGATTAATAAAGAGTTCTTTCACTAAGTTAAAGGAAGCATTGGTTGCTTCCTGAAATAAAACAGTCGTTTGTATTATTTTGTGACATATGACCTTTATATTTTACTATTTTTCTTATCTATATTACATTTTGGTAACATTTGAGTTTGGAATTAAATTCCTTTTAGAAACTCATAGTAAAGCTTTAATCTAGCTAGTTTTTTTACTATAAGCGAGCTTTGCTATTGTTTAAAAAGCGTAGATGGCGTTACTTTCTCACCTACTATTTTTAAGCAACCAACATCAAGGTATACAAATGAATTCTACACAACAACAGCTTTCATTAGAATCTTGAAGTGATATTGTATATTAGGTAGGTTTTTCCTGATAATATTAAGTCGTAATAAAAACGAAACCGGTTAAGGAATGATGTTCCACTTAGTAAAAAAAATAAAAATGACAAATAATGAGATTCTTAAAAATATAATTGTTTGCAAATATGTCGTCGTCTCAGGGCAACAGTGGGACAACTTGAAAATAGCACATTTTGGGATATCTTCATTTTTGAGTTTTAAAGTACGAACTTAAACTAGTGTAATAGTGGGATTTGTGTTTTTATAATTATTTATGTCATATAAAATATATATCTCGGTGTTGCAGAAATCGAAAATAAATAATATTGTTTAATACAACACTGGGTTAAGAGTGATATCCCACTGTCGCACTAAGGAATATTGGATTAAATATTGGGTTAAATCACATATCTCACTGTTTCACTAACGTCTGGCAGCCATTAAAATATTTACCACCTCTTGCGTTTACGCATTTGATTTGTATGAACTTGTCAAATCTGTCCGTTATTAGTTTTAAATAAGACTTTGAGCGTGAAACACCTGTTTTGTGTAAAAATGATGAGTAAGTGTAACAAAAACATGCCAAGAGCTCAATACATTGTGGAAATGGCAAAGCAACAGGCGTTAGAGAAGGAGCCAGACGAAGGTAAGAATAAAAATATTTAATATAAGCTTATTGTGCAAATTAAATATATTTTTGATGTCCTCCCAACTTTACTGGGATTCAAAATAGGTATATTCGGTTATTTTCCTTTTAAAAATTAGAAGATAAAGATTGTGGGTTGATAAATTGGGTTTGTTTTGTTAATTTAAATCACCGGAGAGTAGCGGAGGGAATATGGCAACATTGGCAACAAAGTCTACAGACCGATTTAATTTATGAAGAAAGATCCTGTACTTGTTTGAAGACTTTATTATTTTTTTAGATGGTGGATTAATTCAAGAGTCTCCTTTTCGTCTTAATAGGAATCAGAGGATTTTAGATTGGCTACACGCTGAAAGTTCCAATAGTAATGATAATTTATATTATCATCCTCCTTCAATTCCACAAGCTAGCATACTCCACACAGATGACCTAACTGAAAATGATAAACAAAATGGTACATTAACTGAACTTAGTCCAGTAGTTCTTGAATATTTTCAAGACGATGTTAATTCTGCGTCAAATTTAGTATGTAGCGAAAAAAACAATGATGGGAATTTTTCCGACTTTTCTCAAGATGATGATGTGGAAGATCCCGATTTTATACCAATCGATGAAGGAAAACAGCATAAAATAAGCAGTTCTGTATTGGTAGATGTTACGGAAAAAGCAACAAATACCAATTATGTGGGCCGGCGCTCTGATTCAGCGTCAGTTGAAGAGAATGATCTACAAAGTCCAGAAGAAAATGTACAAACCAACACTAGTGAAACAGATTTTAATCTTGAAACAAAAATTGAAAAAACCAGGAAACGACAAAGATATGAAGGTAAATGGCAAAGAAATATTAAAAAACAGAAGATTAATTCAGGACAAGAATACATTTCAAGGCTAGGTAAAAAACATGAAGCTAAAAAAGTTCTACCTCCATGTGACAGTGCAAAATGTAAATATAAGTGCACTAAAAGTATTTGCGATGCCGATAGAAGAGAACTTTTTCAAAAGTTTTACAGACTCTGTGATAAGACCCTCCAGAGGGAGTACTTGGCAAGAAATATAGAAAGAATTGAGCCAAAAAATGAAAAAGTATACAAAAAGAGACAGATTACTTGCGCCTATTACTTTACGACAAATAACCGAAAAATTAGAGTATGCAAGCTTTTTTTTAGAAACACGCTAAATATCTCAAATAATTCGATTGACACTGTGCTGAAAAAGAAAAATGAGTTTGATTTTCTAACACCTGAAAAAAGAGGAACTCATTCCAACAGGGCCAATAAGGTGGATGATGCTCTAGTGAAAGGAGTATTTGATCATATTAATTGCTTCCCCAGAACCGAATCGCACTATTGCAGATCCTCTACATCGAAGGAATATCTAGAAGGCTCCCTTAATATTAGTATTATGTATAGATTGTACAAAGAAAAATGTCTGGAGACTCATCAACCATTCGTAAAAGAGCACTTTTATAAAGAAATATTTAATACTAAGTTTAACCTAGGCTTTTTTAAACCAAAGAAAGATTTATGTTCGGTCTGTGAGACGTTTAAAAACTTAAGTGAAGTGGAGAAAGAAAATAAAAAAGAAGCATTTCAAACACATACTAAGGAAAAGGCTTTAGCAAGAATAGAGAAAGATTCTGATAAAAATTTTGCTCTGAATGACAAAAATATATTGCTCTCTGCCTTCGATTTACAAGCAGTTACCCCTCTACCCAATGGGAATGTCTCGACGTTTTATTATAAGAGCAAGCTAAATGTTTTTAATTTTACTCTGTTTAACATTCCAGAGAAAAAAGGATCATGTTACATTTGGCACGAGGAGAAGCAAAAAGGGGGGCCAATGAAATTAGTACATGCGTGTTTGATTATATTAAGAAGTCTGGCATTGGAAAAGATATAATTTTTTATAGTGATAATTGCTCTTCGCAAAACAAAAATAGATTCTTAATGTCAATGTATTTGTATGCTGTAGAATATTTGAATGTGCCTCAAATCACACATAAGTATTTAATTATAGGTCATACTGAAAATGAGGGAGATTCCATGCATTCCTGCATCGAAAAAGAACGAAGTCGGATTTTAAAATCAGGTCCAATTTATATTCCCAGTGAATTTGTGACTTTGGTAAAGTCTGCGAAAAAAAAAGGAGAACCTTACCTAGTGAATGAAATGTCAACGGATGATTTCATAGATTGGAAGAAAATAAGCTTTTTAATGGGTAGTAACTTTAACAAAAATGATGAAGGAGATAAGGTGACATGGAACGAGATAAAAATGATAAGAGTAAAGAAACATGAAACAAATAAAATATTTTACAAGACATCTTTTACCCAAGATAATTTTAAAGTTATAAACATAAGAGAAAAAACCCGGAAAAAGCAAATAGAAAAAATAACACTAGTTCCAGCATATAATAAACCACCGAATATACCAAATAATAAAAAAGAAGATCTAGTTAGCTTGTGCAATGACAATTTGGTGCCCAAAAGACACCACCAATTCTTCATGTCGTTAAATGGAGGTACCACAGCTAACCCAGATGATTCAGATTAATTGTTACTATGTTTTAATTTTGAATGTTTTATTATTTTGTATTAATAAGTTGTTAACAACTTTGAATATTATCTAATTAGGTTTCTTTCAAAATAAAAATTTATTCAAAATGATTATTGGTCTATGTTTTAAAAAATATGAATTTTAGTGTTAAATAATGTGAAACAAAGCGAACTTGTGTATTGATGTCCCATAGACTATTCCATATTTGAGAGTGCAACAGTGAGACAACTAAGTTTTTTTCTAGAAAATATACCATTTATATATTTGAAATCACTTACATCCAAAAATATACCCAAAGACAAAATATTGACCAAAATTTAAATAGGAATTACAACCAAATAAAAAACTTATTTATAGTTGAATTATTAAAACATTTTTAAACTCGATTTTCTCACAACTGGAATTTTGCACTTGTCTCACTGTTGCTCTGAGACGACGATGTAAGAGTCCTTTTAAAACATAAAATAAACTGGCTACATAACAGCTTTATACTTTTAGTACGTGGAGTGAAAGTAAATATGTAATAATGTATAAATATCCATTTTTCTAACGTAGTCTTAACCTTAAAGACAGTGAGATGAATAATTTTCATGATAACTACCGCTCCATATATAAAAACAGCCACAGCCTACTTTGGCAACAATTATTTGGATCCATCCTTAATAAAAACTGCATTTTCCAATTGATTACATAAATATTTTAATAATTAATGTGTATAGTTAACAAAACCAGCATGTGAACGCCAACATATAATGGTGTGATTTAGATTCTGCATCATGGTCGTTCGTCGCATTCAAATTTGACAGCTCTTAAATATGTCAAATAAATTTTCAAAAATGCCACAGCAATAAAATGAGCTTTA